CTGCTTTCCTGGCTGTCCTGCTGCTCCTCCGGCGAACGGCGTCTGTCTGCAGCAGACTCCTGAGGCAGCCCAGGCCAGGCCCGGAGCGCTCTCTAGAAGGCTGCTGCTTCAAGTCTAATCATAAACTGGGTGAACTGGAGTGTCGTGTGTCACAGGAGCTGTTGCTGTAATAGGCTCTGGGTGGGAGCGTCCCTGCTGCTGGCTCGGGGTACGTCCCGACGACAGGCTGTTGTCCATAGAGGCTTTGTCAACAGATACTGTCGACAAAGCATCTGGACGCCAGCCAGGTCTGTAGGCAAAGCAGCCGTGCTGTTGACATGGCAGTGTGGACGCAAAGGGCCGCGTGTGTGCGATAACGCCTCCTGGCGACAGAACTCTGTGGACAAAGGGCAGAATGAGCTTTCCCGCCGGCGACAACGCTGCTGAGTTCTGGCCACGTTACGTCCACAGAACTCGGCGGCAGTGTAGACGCAGGGATAGTTTTGTCGGCAAAAGGGCACTTTTATCAACAAAACCCTGTAGCCTAGACACACCCTGGGTGGAAGCGTTCTCGTTGCTGCTGGCTCGGGGCCGGAGGGTTCTCATAGCTGCTGGCTCCAGGCCGGAGGGTTCTCATAGCTGCTGGCTCCAGGCCGGAGGGTTCTCGTAGCTGCTGGCTCGGGGCCGGAGGCTTCTCGTAGCTGCTGGCTCGGGGCCGGAGGGTTCTCGTTGCTGCTGGCTCCGGGCCGGAGGGTTCTCGTTGCTGCTGGCTCGGGGCCGGAGGGTTCTCATAGTCGCAGCGGCTGGCTCCGGGCCGGAGCGTTCTCGTAGCTGCTGGCTCGGGGCCGGAGGGTTCTCGTTGCTGCTGGCTCCGGGCCGGAGGGTTCTCGTAGCTGCTGGCTCGGGGCCGGAGGGTTCTCATAGCTGCTGGCTCCGGGCCGGAGGGTTCTCGTAGCTGCTGGCTCGGGGCCGGAGGCTTCTCGTAGCTGCTGGCTCGGGGCCGGAGGGTTCTCGTTGCTGCTGGCTCCGGGCCGGAGGGTTCTCGTAGCTGCTGGCTCGGGGCCGGAGGGTTCTCGTTGCTGCTGGCTCGGGGCCGGAGGGTTCTCGTTGCTGCTGGCTCGGGGCCGGAGGGTTCTCGTTGCTGCTGGCTCGGGGCCGGAGGGTTCTCGTTGCTGCTGGCTCGGGGCCGGAGGGTTCTCGTTGCTGCTGGCTCGGGGCCGGAGGGTTCTCGTTGCTGCTGGCTCGGGGCCGGAGGGTTCTCGTTGCTGCTGGCTCGGGGCCGGAGGGTTCTCATAGCTGCTGGCTCCAGGCCGGAGGGTTCTCGTTGCTGCTGGCTCCGGGGCGGAGGGGTCTTGTTGATGCGGGGGCGGGGGCCGGGG